TCTGCTTTATAAATTTTATAAAGTAAAGTTACTTCCCTACTTTATATATCACCATTACTGTGGAACCGGTGGGCGGTCAGAAAAATTTACTACTAACAGAGATACAAAAGTGGGCCGTAGGTATAAAAAGGTTGACTACCCCGGAATTTAAATTGACTTTAACTGACTGAGTAAAAAGTATTTTACTTACATTGGGTAAAAGGAATTTTCTGATAAGGAGGGACAAGGTTTGTGAAGCACTGCTTTAAAGCTTTGAGGTAGAAAACTGAGGTAGTGTCATACTTCAGTCAGTGTCTAGGTTCATGATGGAGAACCTCTGGCACAAGTGCCAGAGGTGGCATGCAGCACCCTCTCTGTGGGCATGTGAGCTGTCATCCTAGTTCAGCTCTGCTGCACATGCACACTGCCTCCCGCCAACCAGCTGGTCTTCGGGGCTCTGCTGCACACATGCAGGGGGGCATGCGGGGGGAATCATGCACACATGCACGGGGAGACACGTGCAGGGGGAGCACGCACCTGCGCAGGGGGTGGGACGCGTGTGAGGGGGTAAGCCACACTTGCATGGGCATGGCACATGGGGCTACGCATGTGCCCCATAGGGCCACAGAGACATTGCATTTGGGGCGTTTGGGTGCACGCATGCGTGGCTTTGGTCACTCGGTCCGGAAAGGTTAGCAATCACTGGTATAGGTTATATCCTCAAGGCCTTGAAGCCATGGCTACCCCAACTAGTCTGGGGTCCTAATGGGAATGTACATGTTGGAGGTGGCTGATAAACTAGAAGGCACCAGACCTCATCCCTGTGCACACTTTGCTCCCTCTTTCTTTATTCTGCTCAGTTTTATTTAAATTTAAGATCTGTATTTATTGTTTTAATTATTTTACATGGCATTTTATTAATGTCTGTAAGCTGCCTAGAGTCACCTTGGCGAGATAGGTGGCATACATGTTTAAGGAACCGTGGTGGCACAGTCTTTGGATTCAGTATTGCAGTTTAACTCTGCCACAGCCAGGAGTTCAATCCTGACTGGCTCAAAGGTGACTCAGCTTCTTTGGGTAACTACAGATGAACCCAATATCCTATCATTACAAGAATATTTAAATTGACTTAAAGTATTTTGCTTACGTTAGGTAAAAAGGATTTTCTGATAAGGAAGGACCAAGTTTAGGAAACACTAGTTAAAGCTTTCAGGTAGAAAACTGAGATACTTCTTGTACTTCAGTCAGTGTCTAAATTATACCTAGTGATAAACCCTAAGCCAAATAACAAAATACTTTTGGCTATGTTTATATAAGAGCCTTAACCACTACACTTGCTGCAATGGTTAAGGAATTAGGCTGGAATTCGAGAGACCATAAATTCTAGTTCTGCTTTGAGTACAAAATCATCTGTGTGGCTTTGGGCCTGTGATTCTCAGCCCTAGGAAGAGACAGAGGCAAAATAAATTTTTAACCCACCTTTATTATTTTTTATAAATAACTGGCCTATAACCCGGTGTTGCTCGGGTATTTATTTATTGGGGGGAAATGTCCAGACCAAACATAATGATGTTAGATTTTCCCCCTTACCACAGGGAGCCCCCTTGTGGAGTACTGTGAAGCTGTTACCATGGCAACTCCACTGCCTCTACAGTAGAAGCCATACAGCACAACAGGCTATATCTTAACAGAACCCGCTCCCACCCCCGGGGGTGCTAAGGGTGTTACCCCCACAGTATTTCTTTCCAGAAACTGTGTACCAAGTTATCCAATTTCCCCACCACCACCCTATAGAGCAGGGGTAGTCAACCTTTTTATACCTACCGCCCACTTTTGTATCTCTGTTAGTAGTAAAA